AATAAAAAAAGAAGAGAAAATTTCACTTAGGACCCTTGATCAAACATAATAAAAAAGAAAGTCCTTGAATTTTTTAAACTCACTGCAAGTCTAGGCACTGAATTGAAATTAAAATTCAATGAGAAATGACAAGATTGTCCTTGCCTCTCTACAAGTAATTCAGCTGAAATAGAACATTCTCTCGCTTTGAAGAGTCACCGATTTGAGTGACGACACCCTTGTTGCTTCAAACAAGCTGTGCAAGTCACCAATCCGACAACGAAGCTCCTAGACAAGAACAAGATCCAAGAGAACAAGAGCGACCACCTCATCTTTATGCTTTTCCCATCATTCCTCTTCTATTTTAGTGTGTAATGGAAGATTCTAAGAAACATGATAAAGAACAAGGGAAGAAGAAATGAAGTAAAATTTCACTAGACCATAGATTAAATTTTATTTTTTTTCCCTACTAAATCTATTTAAATCACTTGTTTATCACCTTAGTGTGTGTGGTTCATTACCTTATAGATTGTTGTTAATTTCTCTATCTCACTTCTTCGTTAGAACATTAACTTGAAAGAATTTCAAGTGTTGGTTTCATATCGATAGAACATGCCCATATCTATAGGGTTTCATATTTGAATGACTTGTTTGTCATCTTAGTGTGTGTGGTTCATCACCCTATAGACATGTGTTAGTTTCCTTACCACACTTGTTTATTATAACACTTAGTTGAAAGAATTCCAAATGTTAGTTTCATACTAGTAGGATTTCAAGTTTGAATAACATGTTTGTCACCCTAGTGTATGTGGTTCATTTCCTTATGATAGTTGTTAATTTCCCTACCGCACTTGTTCGTTATAACATTGACTTGAAAGAATTTCAAACGTTAGTTTCATATCGGTAAAACATGTTTGTACTAGTATAATTTCATATTTGAATGACTTGCTTATCACTTTAGTGTGTGTGATTCATTACCCTACGACAATTGTTATTTTTCCTACCATACTTGTTCATTACAACACTGACTTGAAAGAATTCTAGGTGTTGGTTTTATATTGGTAGAACATGCTTATATCGATAGAATTTTATGTTTGAATGACTTGTTCATCACTTTAGTGTGTGTGGTTTATTACCCTACTCACAGCTGTTAATTTTTCTGTCGCACTTGTTTGTCACAAAACTGATTTAAAAGAATTCTAAATGTTAGTTTTATACCAATAAAACATGCTCATAATAGTAGGGTTTCATGTTTGATCACTAAATCAAATTCCTTCCAAGACTTAGAGGTGTCACTAATCTTTAGACACCCTAGTTCAAGTCCTGAAGAGAAGTTTAGGAAGCTTTACAATGTGTGTCCTCTGACTTCAAAAGTTGATGATCCATAGTAACCTTGAGTCAAAAAACATCCTTTTAGATCATAATTACCTGCCATACATCTTAAATTTTGGTCTTCACCTTCTCTTGAATCCTACTACTAGCCAAGAAATGTTGGAAGCCTCGACTGCTAAAGATTACCGACGATATGTTTGATTTTAGAGTGTCCTTTAGAGTGCAGAGAGGACAATATTGTCATTTCTCACTGACTTTAATTTCAATTCAATACCCTAAACTTGCAATAAGATTTCAAAAACTAGGGGTTTTTCTTTTTTATTATGTTTGATCAAAGGGTTCTTAGTGAAATTTTCCCAAAAAAGAATCTTTCTAGAACAAAAGGGGGAAAGATAATTCACACATGAGAATCCAAATCCTTGTGGATTTCCGAAATCTAAACGTAAGGTCTTAATAATATGAAATACGACTACATGAATCCGCAAAATATCAAGCAAGTTAAAAGAAACAATAGTTAAAAAGAGAGATGGCGTAAAAAACATGAAAGGAAGTTTTTTTTTTTGTGGGGCTAAGGAAAGAAAGGTTACGACTCGTAATAAATAAAAAATGGAGAGAATATGAATAAAAAAAATTAAGATAGGTAAATGAACAAACTCTCTCTTAAATTATAGGTCTAAAAATATTTAGGATTTTAAATTCATTTTTTATGCAATATTTCCCTTCAACCTTTAAAAACTGTACAATTTTACTCTTATCATTAATAAAAGTTAACTTTAACTTTTAGTTGACTTTAAAATGACATAAAAAATAACTGAAAAGACCAAGAAAATTTTCTTGTATATTTTCAGATCATTGTCTATAATTTTTAGGACCATTATTGTAATTTTTGATGTTCTTTTTTACTAATAATCAAAGGTAACTTTTGTTAACGTTAGAAGTTAAATTATGCCATTTTCAAAAATTAAACAAGAATATTGTATAAAAGATGAGTTTAGGATCTCAAATATTTCTAAATCTATAATTTAGAGACCAATTTGCTCACTTTTTCCTTTTTTTTTAATGACTTAGCACATCATTTTGAGTCATCCTTGATCTCCAGTTAGGTCACACAGACCCAGTTGAAGCAACAAGTCTATTTAGAAAGTAGGCCTCTTAAATAGGCTTACATATGAGTCTTTACATTTATCAAAGCCTACATATCTTATATATTAATATAATTTATAATTTATAGTTTATGTAATAATATACACCCTCAAGTCGCATTTATAATTCACATTCTAAAATATTTATTTAATTTTATTTATAAGTCACGATGTGGCACTTTAGGTAATATTTAAAAGATATTTTTAAAATTACCTTTTATGAGAGAAAAAAAGTAACATGACATCTCTTTTTAAATTTGTTATATAAGGACGTAATTGAAATTTTATGCACTTTTATTCCATTTATGTTTTTTTTGCATCATTTTGAGTCATCCTTGATCTCCAGCTGAATCGCACAAACCTAGTTAAAGCAACAAGTCTATTTAGAAAGCAGGCCTCTTAAATAGGCTTACATATGAGGCTTTAGACTTATCAATGCCTACATATATTATATATTAATATGATTTATAATTTACAGTTTATATAATAATATACATCCTCAGGTTGCATTTATAATTCATATTTTAGAAAGTCTATTTGATTTCATTTATAAGTCACGGCGTGGCTCTTTAAATAATATTTATAAGGTATTTTTAAAATTATCCTTTATGAGAGAAAAAAAGTAATAAAACATCTTTTAAATTTGTTATATAAGGACATAATTGTTTTGAGTATTGATAAGATTGATAAAAATAACTTATAAAGAGAACTAGAGGAGTATTTCATAAGTATTATATATATTTACCTAAACAGGTAGGTCTTACGAAAATAGGCCTGATCTATTTATCTAAATAGACTTTATAAATAAACCTTTCAAAAAGCCTAAACTTAGTTGGCTTATTTATTAAATAGGTTAGGTTAGGCTGAAAGTAGACCAAGCTATAAACTTTTGATAAGTCATTAAGCCTATTTTCACCTCTACAACCTATCAATTGAACATTTAGTCATAAACATTACCAAGTTTCCAACCATGTCCTACTCAGTCGATATCTGATCACTTCAAACTTGTTACTTGATATCCACTATGTAAGAAATGGAAAAATAAGTAATGAATCTTGTATAAACATTTTTTGTTCCTTTTTTTTGGGACAAAAATTATTTGATATCCATTACTAATTGATAAATTTGAGCTTTGTTAGAAAATAATAACAAAATTTTACATTAGCAATCAAGGTCCTAACTCTAGCCTTTTCCTTTATTTTGGCTTAGAATAATTTATACAGCCTGTAATTGAATAAAACTTGTTATTGTTAGCCCTAACAAGGGATTCCTTTTCCAATATGATTTTCTTTTACATTAAGGTCTAAACCCTCAACCCTTATCCACATTTACTTAATTTTACTCGTTTGAATTACTTCATCTGTTAAATGCAGTATTAGGGAGAGTATTACTTGATGTGTTTGTATTACTTGTTGGTTTTTCCTTACTTTTTAGTGTTTGACACGCTGAAAAGTAAGGAAAATTGGCTTTGTCATATAGGATCTATCAACTACTCTAACCAAAACCAGTCTAAAAGCCAGTGCAGCTCCAAATAAAGCACTCAGTCTTGTACAAAGCATGTAGTCTTGAATTAGAAAGGCATAGATAAAGAAGAAATGCCTTTTTTCCGTACTATAGAAACGTGTTTAATGGAGCTTTTGATAAGAGAAGTTGGCATATATGAAGTGTTCTTCAAGGACAAAATCAATAATATTTTATGTTCTTTGGATTTTATTAGACCATTTTGGATTAAGAGTTTCTTTTGCTAAGTTCTGCAAAGAATCGCTCAACTTGATCAAAGTCGAGAAAGAAATGCAAGTTGACCAAGATAGTGAGTTATGGACGAATTTGATGTATGGAGTCTGTATCTATACCACCATGTTTGTGAGTTAACATGATTTCTGCATGTAAAAATGCAAACTTGATGAACTCCATAATTCAACTAGTGATTTTGACAAACTTGTTCTTTTAGCATAACAGCTTAGATATTCTAAGCAAGGCAAGTCGCCCAAAATAAGACCCCTATATGGCTCTATTAAAAGCCACGTATGTACTCGACTTTCTGAAAACTAAAGAAATGCTACATGAGGCCTACCCTCATGTGTCTTTTTGACATTCATTGCATTCACCATAATTCGTTACTTCAGTTAGTGCATAAGGATCCGCAGTAGCAGCAATCTTTTCCAATACTTCACGTCCACTATCAAGCTTTCCAAAAACCACGAGAAACCTAGAAAAGATTCCAGTGGAAAAGATTGATAGTGGACATGAAGTATTGGAAAAGATTGCTAGGGTGTTTTCTAGGTTTCTGTGCCTTTTTTCCTTCTCTTGAGCGGCTAGGGTGTTTTGTGCAAACATTGCAGTTGAAGAAGTTTATAATTTACTAGTCCTATTGTGTGGAATGATTCCAAAAATGTGCAGAATTCCTCCTCCAGAAAGTTTAACTGCAGATTTCTCATCTGAAATAAATCACATCATTGTAAATACCCTATTATCAAAATAAAGAGACATTTTGAGCTATGTCGGTAAGACAACAAAATATTTTGAATTTTTGCATTCTACATGGTGAGAACTTAAAAGCATGAATGGCATTCTCACTTGGGAATTTGCACCATAAATACTTTATCCATGTACGGCTGCGAAGATTTCAAAACAAGAGATGCAGAGGCATAAGATTAAACATTATATCAATGGGCAAAAGAAAATGAAATTTATAGAAAATTGAGCATTGGACTAGATGAAACTTATACTTGAAATTAACATTGTGACAGAATGCAATGCAAAAATGATTAAATACTAACTCCAGAATTGATATTCAACTTCCAAACATGATGCACAAAGTGTGAGCCTAATGGATTAAACTTTCAAACAATGAAGAAAATGAAAGAACATAAGAAAGACAAACTGAATACAAAACAGACCTATTAAATAAGTAAAATGATATTTTTATATCAGTTGAAGATTTACATATACACCGGCACACACACGTATAAATATCAACCGCAGAAACTGGTTAAGCTTGGACATTTCAAACAGATATACTATGTAACCACTCATTTAGAAATACCACATCTTACGTGTTTAATTGGGAAAAAATGATCCTATTAAAAATCCCAATTGCTAGTCTTAATCCAATCCTACTATTCTGCGACTCAAATTGAATTCAAGGATAAGAGGAAACAATGTCAAAGATAAATTATATAATAAGATTCATTATTTACAACCAATAAACATTATAACTCATTCTTCCATTTCCATGCAACGCAAAATAAAACAAACGAATCTGTTTTTATTTAATTAGTAATAGTAATTGCTTGTAAGTTACAGTAACTGCTTCATGTGATGACTCAAGATGATATGACCAAAAACATGAGATGGACAACTTCAAAAACATGAATGCGGCCATATGTATTGTATCAAATTACAAACATTGAAAACTAGAGAAGTGTGTCATCCTAATTCCAATGCAGCAATATAAAACATACCGTATGAATGGCAGAAATCACCCCCTGCAAGATGAAAACTAGCTATCAATACACAGTTAAGGTACCACAATGCATACAAAAATAGGTTTAGACACTATGAAACTTGTTAGCATTATAAGATGGACAACTCAGTAAGTACAAGCTTAAAACTACATCACAAGAAAAGCACTCATGACCATCAACATTCAACGGTGCATCCTACAACATAAACAAGCATAATTGACTAAAAGAAGGGACCACAACTGAGCCACGTTCATCTTCAACCACAACAGGATGGATAGATCTACAATACAGAAGAATGACCTTAGATGTAACAAGAGTTAAAAAAAAAAAAAAAAAAAAGAACACACCACCTTCACATAGGAGCCGCCTTTCCCAAAGTGATAAGAGGTAGAATCCTTGTAGTGTAGGGGAAAACGAATACAACCTTGCTCCCGAGTTCCCTTTTCTCCTGAACAAAGAGGAAAACTAAATGAGAAATGGGAAACCTATAGCATAAGCTATAAAATCTAAATAAATTAACATGTCAAAGGGATTGTTCAATCAATCAGATAGTAATCGTAACACAATAGGGTTTAACTAGGAGGAAAAAGCCATTAAATTATTACCAGTGCATAGTGCACAGAAATTTTCTACGGAGGCAGGGGCATCATCTTTGAATAGCTGGGAGGACAAAAGAACTCATTAAGTTGCATTCCAATTCTCCTCGAAATCGAAGTTGCAAAATCCACAAAAATAAAAACTTGATCATGTATCACAACAGTCATTGTTATTTAAAATTAAAAGTATTACAAAAAGGGTATACCTCAAAAACCATCTTTCCTACAGGTAAAAAAGATCTACACAAACTTCCATAAAAACGAAGGGATTCTTCTTCTGTTCCATTCTCTTTCTGTTACGAGTCACGACCCCGGTTTTAAATACAAAATTCTTGCTTACGACATAAGTTTTTGTTTATTACACAAATGAGCCCAGAGCAGTAATTTTTGTCAAACGACTCCTCAGCTCACCTGCCGCACGGCAGGAGCCAAGACTCTCTTATATTGAAAGTGCTCCTCTCTTCTTTGGTTGTTCGATGTGGGACTTAGGTACAGGAACAGTAATACTAATTTGCATGCAATAGAATGCATTTTTATGGTTAATGTTTATTGATTATTTTACTTAATTCTTAAATTATTTTTATAATATAAATAATTCTTCCGTTTGAAAATATAAAATATTTTTAAAAAATTTAGATGTTAAAAAAGTGAGATATTTTTAATCTTTTAAGATATAATTATTATTTTTTTTAAAGTGTTCTTATTGATAATGATTTTATATTTATTTGTAGGGTGTTTAATAAAGATAAATATAAAAAATATATTTAATTTAAAAATAGACGGTGAGATACGATTAAAAAAGTATATCATTTACTTTCTGACAAGTTCTACCCCGCCTCCTTACTTTTCCAATGTCATCCAATCACCATCAAGGCATAAGATAGATTAATATAAAAATAAATCCTGCATGTTATCTGTCACAATCTAAAATGCAAAGCAAGTAGAATAACACACAAGTTGGAGATAAAACTCCCGTATTATTCAGGGGACCAACTATTCAAGGGACAAGTTCAGACAGTGTCGAGAAAACAACTGAGAGAGAGAAAGTTACAGAGAAAGAGAGAAATAACACAAGGCAATCCACATTTTCCATAACCACCCACTCCTGGCGTGTAGCTTTTATAACTCTCCTCTATCTGCGGTGAGCCTCTCGTAACTTTCACGTGAACCTTCTAGTGCGAGAACTCCTGCGCGTTCTGTCCCTCAACGCCAGCTGGCTTTCCCACTTGAACCTCCAGAGCCTTCGTGGAGTCCAAGTTAGCAGCTGAGTCACCAACTGGACACGTATACGTCTCATTCTCCTATTCATATCAGTATATTTAGATTTTGAACAATGCATAACCTTCATCAAATTTTTTATTAGAAAATATATGACTGACTTTTATTAGAAAATTTAAACCCAAATTCCTTGCCTTTCGACGTTTCCCTGCAGAAGATGGATCGAAGGATGGGCATGATCCACTTGGCCCTTGAGATTTCCTTGAAGAACCTTGTGAGTACCTGAATGATTTAGGGTAGAGAGCCACCATCACATAGAGAGGACCTGACGCCACACCATCCAAATACCAAGGCCTATGACTAGCTGCAAAAAATGTTTTCTATGAGCTTAAAGAAAATTGTCATTCTTAATAAAATTAAGAATCAAAATGAACTACGGTCAAATACACCACAACTGGTGATTTGAACTGATGTTACGGGAGTCCATAATCCAAAACATCCTATAGCGCATCAAGCCCATCCACAACCTCGCCAAAAATGACGCAAGAGCTGCCAAACGATTCTAAATAATAGGATTAGCATATTATGTACTTTTACAAATGCAATGTTTGAAGGCCGAGCATTTTATAATGACACCCTAGCTGGTCAAGTGGAAAAAAAAGCAAAACAAGAGTTAACAATATAAAAGAACCTATCAAGGCTGCGATTAGCTCCCAATGTTATCACAAAATGAGACCCACGATCATTACAGTCTCTTCTATCCATTGATAGTAACCCTTCCCTATCATGCTTACACTCATTTTCCTCAACTGAAATATATTACAACAATGTAGAAACCTTGTTCATCAAAATACATAGACAGACATTTTGATACCTCTTCAAAAGTATGATCCAGCATTCTCACCTAGGAAATATGGGCCATATATGCTATTTCCGCCTTTCCCTGCAAGACTATAAAAAATGAGATGTAAAGATGTAAGAGTAGACATTAATTATATGAAGGAGAAGAAATGACTGGTACGTTCGGAAAATTATAGCAAACTAGACATCAGACCAGATGAAACTTACAATTGTAGTTAACAATGCAAGTATTAAGAACCTAACGGTACTCGATCAACATGATAAAATGTTGAGAGGATCATGCAAATAATAATTCATATTAAGTAAAACAGTATTTTACATGAATTGAAGAATCATACGTACAGTGTAGAGACTAGTTAAACTTATGATTTCCAAACAAGTACACTATTTATCCACTGGTTTAGAAATACATCTTAGGTGACAACATTTTTAATTGGGGAAAAAAGATCCAATTAAAATCCTCAAGTGCTAGTCTTAATTAATTCCTACTGTATGGGAACCCCAATAATTTGAAGACAGGAAATACAAAATTTACTTGAAAGCAATACATCAATATCTAATATAAAATATAGATAACAAGACGCATCATTCACAGGCAGCGAACATCACGGCTCACTCTATGAATACCGTGCTATGCACCAAAAAATGAATCTACTTTCATTTACTTAGTAATTAGTAATAATTAGAAAAAACAATAATAACTGAATCGATTGAAATTGACTAAACGTATTGTATCAAATAATAAACTTCAAGAAGTAGTCAAGTGTGTCATCCTAAGGTCAATGCATGGATAGACATCTTACCAATTTGAGACAAAGCACCTCCCTGCAAAGGAAAAGTGGCTATCAGTCCCTAGTCTTGATGCCACATTGCATAGAAAACGGATTTGTACATAAAAAGCCTATTTAGTATTGTAAGATGGACAACTGAGTAAGTAAAAGCCTAAAACTATATCAGCACATACCTTCACATGGGATAGGCTATTAACCTTGTAAAGGTAACACTACAGGTAAGACAAAAGCTTCCCGGTTTTGAGACTTACTCCCGTTTCACCTGAACAAAAGAGAAGTCTAAATAGGAAACGGGGAAGCCATATCATGCATAAACCATAAATTCTAACTTAAATTAGCATATCTAGGGCCTTGTTCAACTAGTGAAACTGCAATTCCAGTACAGGAGGGTTCTATATAAAAGAAATGAGATCAAATAATTACTTGTACATAGCGCATGGAAATTTGACACGGTGTAGGGGGCTTTGTCATGGAATAGCTGGAAGTACGAAAGAATTCATTAGGTTGCACTTCTACATTCACGGTCAAAGTTGCAAAATTCAATAGTATTGAAAACAAAAGGGTACTTTAAAAACCATCCTTTTATAGAGCCTCCATTTACAGATATCCATGTAAAGAAGGGGTGCGGGATCCTCCTCCGCCATTGTCTTTCTTTTGTGAATTAGAACTCAAGCCAACAAAACCACTAAAGTCACAAAAGTCAATCATGATAGGCCAATTAATTACTAATATTATGAAATAATAAATAATGCATCAGAAGCAGACACTGATACTGGCACTGTGCCATTTTTTTCCAACAAGAAATTAAAATAATCAAAATCAAAATTTGCAAGTCAAATTTTTAAAGGCAAAAGAACATGATAAAGTCATAAAACCAAACATATATATAATCTCAGAAAAAAAAGAGTCGGGATACATATGCAAATGCAAGATAAGTAAAAATCAAAATGGGGGAGAAAACCAATTCTGAGATAGAAACATAGATTGTATCAGTTTTATAGACTAGTAAAAACATAACTGAAAGGAAAGCGTTAAAATACAAATTAAATTAGTCAAATCTCATTTAAAGAATAAGAGAAAGCAGCTGAGAACTGATATTGGATAAATATCATGGATAATACTTGAATCAAAGAAACATCAGATAAAATGCATCAGATTATAACTTTTAAGAAGCAAATTTACTGGTCAATAAGCTAACATGTGCAAAGCTTACAGCAAATACTGAGATGAGCAATTCATGCAAAGAACTAAATAAATACAACACAAACCAAACAAGTGTTGGGGTTTTAGATGTATCATGAGTCTTTCTGATGTAAGAAGAAACGGCCAGAAAATTTCTCGAAAAGCAATTCAAAAAACTTGAAATAGCTCATGATTTTTAATCAATAAACATGCATAGAAAACAGAGAAACAACATACCAACCTAAATAAAAAAAAAATCAAATGAATATCGGGCCAAATCAAAGGACAAGCTGAAGGAATTGTGATAAGAAGCAACCAAAGATGAAGGGGGCAAACCTAGGATGAATCATAAGGAGCATGAAAGGCAACATAGGGCACCCAATATTACCTTGGAACGATGCGGAATGGGGCGACAGCAAACGTGATCACAGGTCTGGGCGACACGAGGATGGGCACGGATTTGGGCGACGCGAAGATAATAAATTCAGAAGCAGTATATTATTCTGCATGTTGCAATACATACATGTACATGACAGTTTCCTCTTGAATATAATCATATCCCTCTTCTCTTGCTATCTCCACTGACTATCTTTCCACAATATGCCCTTATATGATATTTACTACATAACTAACAGTATCATATAATATATTACATGCAATAAATGATATTTTCCATTATCGCAACGTATCTTTGACGTTCTGCAGTACTCCCCCTCAAAGTGGTGCATGGAGATTCGCAATGCCCAGTTTGCCCATGAGTGCTTTGAGTCTCTCTTTCCCCAACGCCTTCGTCAGCATATATGCCAGTTGGTCTCTTGTCCAGACGTTGCGTGGCATTATCTCTCCCGACTGATATCTTTCTCTCACAAAATAGCAGTCCATCTCTGCGTGCTTGGTTCGCTCGTGGAAGACCGGATTCGTGGCTATGTGAATCGCTGCCTGGTTATCACAATAGAGGGACGTCGCTTTGCTCTGCTGCTCCTGCAGTTCTTTGAGCAACCAACGAAGCCACAAAACTTCACTAACTGTGCAAGCCATCGCCCTATACTCTGGCTCAGCTGATGATTTGGCCACAACGTTCTGCTTTTTGGTCCTCCACGGCATAGGTGAGCCTCCAAGTGATATGAAATATCCACTACTTGATCGTCGGGTTAGAGGGCAGCCTCCCCAGTCCGCGTCGCAATATGCCTCAAGTTCCAGATTTCCTTCTGATCTGAGCAAAATGCCTTGACCTGGAGTGCACTTTAGGTATCGTAACACTCTTTCAACAGCCACCACGTGGGAGTGTTTGGGTTCTGATGTGAACTGGTTTAGGATATTTACCGCATAGACGATGTCTGGGCATGTTACCGTGAGGTATTGGAGTTTCCCTACCAACCTTCTGTATCGTGAAGCATCAACCTTGGTTTCACTTTCATCATTATGTAACTTACAATGCTGCTCCATTGGAAGCGCACTTGGTCTGCAGTTTGCCATATTCGAGCGTGTTTGGATTACTTTCTAACTGAGGTTTGAGAGGCTCCAACCTCAGTTGAGATAAAAAAAGCTCATCAGAGCATGTTTGGATAAAAAAAATTTCGGACGAGCGTTTATTGCAGAACGAGCGTTTCTAACGAAGCCAGACGAGGGAGCTTTTTGATGCATGATATGGACGTTGGTGGGGCTGGGGGCAGATTCCTCTCTCCAGTCCTTATTATCTCACCTCAGCCGCGGCTTCTTCACTTTAATAAGCACTAGCTGTTAAAGTGATCTAATTATATATAAACTTTTGTCTGCTATTTCCTTTTGGTTTTATTAGTCTGTCATGCTTGGACTTCATATGGCTTTTTTGAGCCTTTTTTGTATTGCGATTTCCTTCTGCTTTCATAATGTTATAGTTTCCATTAAACTGTTACACTCTTTTGTTGTGATTTTTTTAAAATAGGAATGTGAGGTTGTTATTAGATGTACTATTCTAAAGGTAGAGATATACTTGGAACTATGATGGATGCGGCCCGTGTAAGAGCAAACCAAAAAAAAAAAAAAAAAAGAACAAGGTGAATGGTATTGCAAGAATTGTAAATAAACCATTCCTATTCTAGAACCAAAGTAATTCTATCTTCTAATACTTTCTTAATTCATTGGTTCCAATAATAGTGTTCTTCTTCGGTTCTTCCTCTAACTCAATTCTTTCACCAAAATGGCTTATGTGTATTCAGATTTAAGGTTCACTACACTGTTTTTGATAGCTCTGGTCATTGCTCTATACTATAGTCTTCTTCAATCGTTCTGCTGTTGAGCTCTTTGAGACTTCTTGTACCAATCTGCTTGCTAGCATGAATAAGGTTTGGTGAAATTATTCTATAGTCAAGAATAAGTGAAATGTGTTGTTTCAATAAGGTAAACAATTCCAAGGTTTGTTCTGGAGTCTTTTATCTGATATAATTTCTTCCTCTTACCTAAAAATTCCAAAATAGGCCTAATTCTTTCGTAAGGGCTTCAGCAAAATGGTTGGGAGGGAAATGGTTTTAATGCTTAAAATTAACTCTTTCAATATTCGAAACCGTACAGTAGGCATTTGTGTCTCTCACCACTCCGAGGATCCTGACATCTGCAAACGTTTCACCTATTCAGAAAATTCAGGTAAATTTTATACATTTGCACATGAAAAAATAATTCAAAGAATGTGTATAAATAAGACACATAATCTAACTTCTCTACTACTTTGTATCATTGTCATCTGTCATGAAGCCTAATTCCACACCTGAGGAAGTTGTCAACCAGGTTATTAAAATTATAAATTCATATTATTTTTGGGACTTGAGCTTCTTTTATAATAATATTAACAATTTTCCTTCTTTGAATTCTTTCAGAAAATTCCTTCAACTAATACATTCTCTGAAGGAATGATGTCCACGCCTTCTAAGTCTACTAGATCAAAGAAATTTCTTCAATATTCAAGAATTGATGATGATATTGAGCTTGCAACTTGTGAATTCCCCAACCTGCAAGAAATTAAGGGCAAGAAACGAATCAATGATGGGGCATCTCTTGCTGAAGAAGATCAGCGAGGATTAGTTGCCATGTCTGTCATGCTTAGATCTCATATGGCTTTTTTAGAACCTCTTTGTATTGTGGTTTCCCTCCGCTTTCAGAATGTTAAGTTTTATTTACCAAGTTGATGACTAATGTTAACAGTTTCCACGAAGCAGATTCATATAATGCCTAAAATAGTCAATAGCATCCTTATTAATCAACCATCTACCTGATAATGAAAAGGGAGTTCAACATCATTTTCACAAATGAACCTTAATATTGTAGGCCATTGCAAGTTCTTCAAAAATGATCAACAACTTCATCATTTTTAAATTTGGCAAACTTTTATAGGATTATATTATCGTTTCAAGCAAGAGGAAGTTGTATATATATCATTTCTTGGATAATTGGATTAAAATTATCTTCCTTTTCAATGATGTCGAATGATTCTCATGAGTCTACATCTTAAATCATTTCTGTCAATTCAAAAAATTTTAGAAGATGCATTTCTCATGTGCTTCTCTCCCAAATGAATAAGATATTGTATTTTTTCAAAAAAAAAAGATATTAAATATTTGATCATAATAGAATTTATGTAATCATTCTCAACACATTTATTAATATGAAGTTAATGTAAATATCGAAATCCTGTTAGTTCTATCAATGTTGAATAATGGTTTTCATCATTAAAAGGATATGAAATTTTAGTCTCTGATGCAACCATTGTAAAGTCACCTCCTATCCTCACATGCCATTCAAGATTGCCTCTTCCATAGGTTGAAACTGTATTCATTCTTACTCGATAATAATTCAAATGATTGAATAGTAACTTTCCCCAATATAGATTAAATGATTTCAACTTCCAACATGAAACAATTGAACTTGACCTCTTCCATTTTATAGCAACCATTGAATTTTGCTCTAATTGGAAAATTCATTGCAATATTATTAATATTGATGTGCGTGCAAAGCTGTACAATTGAGTAAGATCAATTATTCTCAAGTTTCAATGAAATATTTTTTATGGTCGGAATGGGAACACCAAAGTCTATTATAAGTACTTTCTATAATCAAGCACTATTATCATGTTCAGATTTCAGTAATCACATTTCCTTCTGTCATTAATGGACAAATCCGTGTCTTCTTTTTAGGTTGCATCTGACTGGGGGAATGGTTAATATTAATTTTCTTAAGTTAACTAATGATACTAATGAACCTTTAATGTATTGGCTGTGTATATAGATATATTAAGTACATTGAATATGTTAATTATATAGATGGGGCTCTTCCTATTCTTGCTGATATTACATCCTCCAATATTATTAATATTTCAAATAAAAGTTCGCCATAATTAATTTTCACTCTCTCCTTTTATTCCAGTACTCCAACGTTCTTCACTTACTTCTGTAAGCCACTTCAACTTCAATTCATCATATACTACTAATGCCTCTGTTGGTGAGAGCTGTTAAATTACGCTACTTCTATTGTTCATTGCGCCCTTGTTGAAACACTAATTAATTCAAGATGAGTTCAAATGGTAATATCATCAATACTTAGTAGTATTCCTTCATGACAGTCTCCTATAGTTATCACATCCATTCTAAATATTTCTATTGCTATGAACACAGAAAACACTCCTCCGAGATCAGTTTTGAGCGTTAGAAGAACTGCTAGGATGGTGAAATTTAATAAAGGAAATGAATCCGGCAAAAGCCTTTCTCATCCATTGGATGGTATTGTCGTTTGTTCCAACATCAATGCAATGTCCTACTATATAATATCTGATAATTTATTCTTTCCATTAATACAGGTATATCTGAAACTCAACCCATAATAACATCAGACCCCATGGGAAGCAATCCCTGCAAAAGATCCCATCTGAAAAGCATTAGTTTGAACACTCCCCTGTATCTTCCTCTTTGACATGTAATGACATGTCTATCTCAAGTAACACCAAAGGAAACAGAATTTGACCAAATTAAGCTATCCATTCTCCAAATTCAATGATACATTTTCATGTTAATTCCTCTTTATTTGACAGTTCAAATTTTATCTCTCTGAATTTTTAGGCACTTTGCAGTTATCAGAATTAACAGTAAAGATTTGCATTTTTGAATCATTTCAATGATTGAAATTCTGCTTCAAAATGGCATCAGCTATGACTATTTTTGTCAAGCATGGAATTAATGTAGTTTTAATCAATTGAAGAGGGTAACTTTAAATGGAAAATGAGATTATCCAAAGATAACTATTGACAAAAAAATAATAATAAGAGAGCGAAAAGAGTGCATAGTTTAAATTATAAAAGTGATTCTATACCACTATCATCTACAAGCTTCTTCTGTAGTGTTTTTTAACAAAAGTTACAATTTACAACTGATTCTAAATGACAAATTCAAGTAAAAGTAACTAAAAGAATTGTCTATGTTGATAATGATTCTGTTCCATGTTTAAGTTTATTCATCATCGTCTATATAAATAAGTATCGGAAAAATCTCTTCCTTAGGAATAAGTATCTGTAAGGCATGCGCAGAATCTTATTTAAAATATAATTTTTTTACAGGTCATCAATCAAAAATTAAACAATTTATATAAATGATGCCAGTAGAAAACTCAGATGTTTCTATGAATCCTTCCCCACAATTTATACTTCAAATCGCCTTTGGATAGATAAATCAGAATCCAAAATGTATAATAATATTTTAAACTTTAATATATGATAAGGATTTGGATGGACCAAATACTTGTTAAAAATAAGAATTCCACTCATTAATTTTAATACTTACTTGTTAGAAGTATTTTTGTAAAATTAAATTGAAAAATATTGCAATAAACTAATAAAATCAGATCATTTGTTTATTCGTGATAGTTATGCATTGAGTGGAAGAGCGAGGTAGAGAGAGGGGATTGGCGTTGAGATCGTGAGATAAGAAATTGAAAAATAAAATTGATGGAAAGAAAACAAACATGTTCTACGTTAACATAACACGACACAATGATTTAGTACACTTTTTATTCTCATCATTATTTTCTTGGCAGAATCTTATTCTCATTATCATCAATATATGTAGCATGGGAATACACTTTATTTAAAATATGATTCTAAAACATGTTTTAGAAATAAACTAAAGGGTTGTTTCATTGAAAATTGAACCTTACTTCAAAGGAGGAGTAATTGAAGGCTCAATGTCTCCCGAATCAAATGAGACTTTTCTGTTAATCTCATAGTTTAAAGAGTTGTAGCCATTAGAAATTGAACCTTGTTTTAAAGGAGGAGTAACTGGAGGCTCAATGACCCCTAGACCAGATGGGACTTTTCTATTAATCTCATAGTTTAAAGAATTATAACCACTGAAAATTGAAGCCTGCTTCAAAGTAGGAGTAGGTGGAGGCTCAATAGGGTCTGAACCAGATGGGACTTTTCTATTAATCTCATAGTTTAAAGAGTTATAGCCATTAAAAATTGAAGCTTGCTTCAAAGGAAGAGTAGGCGGAGGCTCAATAGGGTCTGGCCCAGATGGGACTTTTCTGTTAATCTCATAGTTTAAAGAGTTGTAGCCATTAAAAATTGAAGCTTGCTTCAAAGGAGGAGTAATCGGAGGCTCGATAACCCCTGGACCAGATGGGATTTTTCTGTTAATCTCATAATTTAAAGAGTTGTAGCCATTGAAACTCGAAGCTTGCTTTAAAGGAGGAGCAACTGGAGGCTCAATAACCCTTGGACCAGATGGAACTTTTCTGTTGATCTCATGGCTTAAAAAGTTGTAACCTTTGGAAATCAATGCTTGGTTAATTGCTAAGACACTAGAAGATTGATAACTTTGGAACAAGGAGGCAAGGAAAATAGTGAAAGAAATAGAGATAAAGTGGGTGTGAAGAGCCATGTGAGAGAAATATGACAGTGAATTTGTAACTCACTCTTGAATTGCGTTTTATTCTTGTATGTGTAACTATATATACACATGCAAGAAGATTGTTAAGGAGGGGTTGGTGCATGTAATTCAAATAAATGATAAAACATACACGTTGGCATAGGATAAATCATTATCATTAAACGCTATTATCTTCTTGATTTAAATATGTATAAATTAAATTAGTAGTGATAAGATACGTGAATATGTTGATATATTACCTTTTTTTTACCAACGTTATTGATATATTACCTTTAAAAAATACATTTGATTCATGCGACCAAACTTTAAAATCATCATACATGTACTGATTGGTTTTGGGAGGAATAAAGAGGCTTAGGAAAATAGTGAAATAGATGGATGTTGATCTGAATCTGATAGGTGAGGTGCATGTGTATGAAGAAGATCAGAACTATGTGAGATAAATAACCGTTTCAATTGTAAAAGTTGAAGCTTGTGTGTGATAAAAATATCGAATCATTGTATAAAAAAAATATCGAATTATTTATTTATGGAAAAATTATAAATAAATTTCAAATAAAAAATTATTTATTAGTCTCACAAATTTGTGAATATACTTACAAGCCTCATGGGACTTGATTAATTGTGATTATTAATTTACACTTAGCTCCTTTGACTAGAGTTGACTGAAGTTGACTGGCCATTGTTAGCTGGCTGCCGTTGATCAGTCATCAACTGGAGTTGACCGGTCAAAAAATAATTTTTCTGAAAAAATATTTTTATTAAAATATTAATACTTTAATATTTAAAAGTGAAATATAACAAATTTACAATTAAATTACCTGAATTTATAATTCAAACTTCTTATATTTACAAATCAACTTTTTACATTATTAATAAGTAACTAATATTTAAAATTCAACTTCACAATTTTACACATTAAACTTAACAGATTTACAAGTTGAATGTCTTAAATTTACAAGTAAATTTCTGAAAAAATTAATACTTTAATATTAACAAGTTAATATTATAAACTTTGAAGTTAACGCAGTAGATCTAAAGGCGAATTTACATAATTTATTCTGTGGCTCTTCAAATTTTATAAATTAATTGAGTCAAAACTTAGAAATTTACCAGTTAATACAATAAAAACACTTAGTCTATTTAATAGAATGATTTGAAAATTTTTCAGATCTATTTTTAAAATTAGAAGAACTAATGCAAAAATTATATAAATTTATTTGTAAATCTTTGAGGTTGATTTATGAATATAAGAGATTGAATTATAAATATTAAGATTTTAATTTTTTTTAATGGCTTACCTATAAATTTTAGAAGTATAAGTTGTAAATTTATGAATTTAATTTATAAATATTAAAGTACTAATATTATAAGAGGTTGACTTGTAAATATAAAAAATTTTACTTAAGTATTTACTTGTTCTATGATGTTTGACTTATAAATATTAAAATATTAATATTTCAATAAAATTTTTGTTGTTGGTGGTTGGTCAATACCGATCAACACTAGTTAAAGGGGCATGTGTCTAAGGGCATTTATGTCATTTTACATGATAAATTAAATTTAGCCTATTTTTTTGAGATTTGAGTGTATTTTCACAAATGCGTGGAATTCAATTGTAAATAATTTTTTGTTTGAGACTCATTTATAATTATCTCTTTATATATTATTTGTCACCATAGTCATGCACTAAGTGTTGAGGGAGGATTTGTGTGGTTGAGTTTTTTTCTTAGAAATTTATGTGTGAACTAATTAAAATTAATTAATTTATTGATTTTCCAAGACAAGTGTGATTTGTTGAGTTTAGTTAATCGTTAAAGTGTATGCCATTAACTAAACTAAAGCTTTGTAGTGAATGAGCCTAATAAAGCTAGTAATTTGAGCCAACACGAATTAGCTAGCCTAAAATATTTTAGGCCTAAGCTAGCTAAGGAGTTTGGGATAATCCAAATAAGTCTAAACAAGAATAAGTTGTGCTCGAATGCCTAACTTTTTTAATATTAATAAAATGAAATTAGCTTCCATCTCAACTTTTAGTTAGCAGTTACAAACCCTCTTTCAGACTCTCAATTTTTATATTTCATATTCCTAAATGAAGTTTTAATAACTATTTGTTTTGAATATTTTTAAAAATATTAAGAAAATATAAACATATGTTACTTCATATGCTTTCATTTTTCTCTTTTAATGCTTGGTCTCACTTTCATAGGGATAGAAAAAAAGATGCATTATAATGTTATGTTGCTTGAAAAATCTTAATTTTTAAGATAAAAATTAAAATTAGCTTAAAAATAGTATTTGGGTTAACTCTCGAATAAGTTTAAAAGTCTGAGGTGTTAAAATCTAGCTTATTTATATGAGATTTTTTTTAACACAACATATTGATTTACTAAACTTTTTTATTCTCATAATTATTTTCTTCCTTATGATTATTACATATAGCATAGGATGGAGAACAAGGAAATTAATCATACTTAAAATATGATTCTAAAACACACCTTAGAAATAAAATATCTTTTCAGTCTCTCTCTCCCCCCACCTAGAGCGTTCCAGGTCAAAAGAGAGAAGCCTGAAGCATACATAGTATAGCAACTAAGCATATATATGATCTATATTTTCTTGGGCAAGAAAGATCTGGCAATGCGACCATCACCTCCTTTAGGATGAAAACCACCAGGAACATGCTCATCACCACTGCCATACACAATCCTTAAAACCTCTTGAGGTTGTCTGGGATAAGCAACAGAGTACTTATCACCAGCTAGGATGTTGCCAGAAATCTTTCCCTCTGCACCTATGTCATTTGCTACAACAAGTCCCTCATCTTTGATACCAGTTTTCCCTAACTTGTCTCGAAGAATAGAGATGCGATTTGTAAACTCTGCCACACTCACTTCATATGGATGCACAAGTTCATCTTTATGCTCATATAGCAATGTCCTAATTACTGCATCTTGCCCTGACTCTACTCCCAAAAGTCCTGCCACAAGCTGTACATGCATTCACAAATCTCAATCTAACTAGAATTGGGTCTTATGTATTAAACTCAATATATATACATATCATCCGTTCGATATTATAAGGTATTTTTTTAGAGTTAATTTGCAATTTGAACCTTGAACTATAAGTTTTGGAGCGATTTGAATTTTAAATTTTTAAAAGGTATATTTTGAACCCTAAACAATTGAAGTTGAGGTAATTTTGCTTCCACAATTAACTTTCAACATTCATTAATTTTTTAAAAATTGGGACATAATATGTGACTTTTACCAAATTTTGCCTCCACCATTAATTTGATAGTAGGGATGAAATTGTCTCAATTTTAATTGTTTAAACTTAATGATAGGGATAAAATTACTCTAACTTTAATTGGTTGAAGTTCAAAATATATCTTTTAAAAGTTTAAAATTCAATCGCTCTTAGACTTATAGTTTAGGATTCCAATTGCATATTAACCATTTTTTTATAAAGTACTCTAATATATTTTAAAATATAATATATTTTGAGTATTACAAGGTGCAATAAATAAGGTTTTTTTTTAAATACCATTAATTAAGGGGTGTAATTAATAAGGTTTTCTAATTGAGACATCTTATTAAATAAGGATAAACATGAAAAAAGTGTATAATTTTAAAGATAATTAACTAACTTATTAAAATATATAATTCATTTAAAAGTACCTTATAATATTAAACGAATGGATGGAGTATATTGATATTGATTCACATAGATTCCATTCATGGTAATAATATATTCTTTCTCAGGGCACTTCTAACTGTTTGGTTAAAATTAAAGAAAAATAGTTAAATTATTGAAATGGTTTGATAATAAATTTAATTTTCAAGATTATCCCTATTCAAGAGTATGAATTTGAAAAATAAAATCATATGAAATTGTAAATGAGGGTGATTTTAGAAAAATAATAATTAATATTTTAACTTTTTATATAAAGTAATGTGTGTGAGAGAGAGAGAAGGGGGGGGGGGAAGACTATCAAATGTTCAAATTTAATACCTCCTTGGCAGTTTCAGTCTGGAGCAAATGCATGGCTCCAACATAGCCAGTGAGACCAACATAAGGAATAACGTAAGAGGCAAGCAAGTAATTTATAGAATTGGCATAAGGATCAAAAGGTGGGTTCAATGGTTTTCCAAAAGCATTGTCCATTATTGTGGCAAATGCTTCGCTGCTCAAATTCAATAATGGCCTTGGGAACCCTTTCACTTTGCTCAAGATCGCCCTACAATAACACATTCAATTTTAAATAATGTTATTATTATTATTATTCATGGAGTAAAATATTGATAAAAGTAAACATTTAATCCTTTAATTTTATACAATATTTTATTTTAATTTCTTAATTTTATAAAGTGTATTTTTATTCCTCTAACTTTAACAACATTAGTTTCATTAACAAAAAATGCCAACATTAAACTTTTAAATATTAACAAAACATTATCAAATGTTGATATATTAAGTTTAATTTTTTGAGAGAAAAATTTAATATATGATAAGAACTTAATAAATTGAATACTTGTTAAAACATGAACTTCACTTTTTAATTGTTAATGTTTATTTGTTAGAAATTTTTATTAGATATTAAATTCTTTTAAGCGTCCTTCAATGATATTCTCCCTTAACTTTTTTTAAATAACAATGATGGAAAAATACTTTAGTTTATAAAATCAAGGGACTCCTAAAATATTGAAAACCAAATTTGCACTTTCACCTAGAATATTTAATTATAGGTGTATTATAATGGAAATCACAAAGAAGCAAAGATTCGAAATACCTTAAATGCCCAACTTCTTGATAGCCAAATTGCAAGATAATATCCTTTGTAAGAGGATCAAGGTTGGCTAATTTTGCACCACTTGGTAATGGGCCTCCTTGGGCCAATTTTGGATCAATAGCATCGAGCCCAAAGCCCAATGCACCATATAAAAAGAACTCGGCTTCCAAAAACTCCAAATTTAAAGGGAATTCAAGAAAATCATTATCTGTATAATTCAATGTTGCAGGACTTGCAAAGACATTAGAAGACTGAGGACTTGGGAGGAACAAGGAGACTAACAAAACAGTGAAAGAGATAGAGATGAAATGTGTGTGAAGAGCCATTTGAGAGAAATATGATAGTGAATTTGTAACTCACTTGAATTGCACTATATTCTTGTTTGTGTCTCTATACACACACACACACACAAGGAGGGTTGGTAGAATGGTGCATGTAATTCAAATAAACGATAAAACATACACGTTGGAATGTGATAAATCATTATCATTAAACGTTATTATCGTGTTGATTTAAAGAAATACATACATACATACATATATATATATATATGAATTAAATTAGTAATAATGAGATATATACACACACACACACACGTGAATATGTTGATTTGTTACCTTTAAAAAACATATTTGATTCATCGTACGACCAAACTTTAGAATCATGTATGTACTAATCTGTTTTTAGTTTAAAGGAAAGCGGGGTTAAAGCACTTTAAAATATGAATCTCTAGATTCACAAAATAAATGTATATGGTGCTTAGCTTGTAACTTGTTCATAACGATAGTACGAATCATCATGACTTATGGCACTTATAGAAGATGATATTAATCAGGCTGCAAAATAGTTATAAATGATAATTAAATGTGATGATTCTACATATATTAAAATCAAATATAATAAAATAAAATCAACCATTAGAAGATTAGGTTAATGGTAATTTTATGCGATCGTTCTACATTTATTAAAATAAAATAAACCATGAGAAGATTAATTAGATTTATTCAAACCCTCCATTTATTAAAAAAATATAATTAAAATATTAACAAAAATAAATTACCATTAAATCTAAATTGTGCAATTATAATTTAAATGGTTCCGATTTATAATCAACTATATGTAACATCCCAAATTTTCTAATCTAAATATATTAGAATTCAGTAAGTTATTAAGTTCAAATAATCAAAGTCCTTAAGGTTTCTTGAAAAGATAGAATAGTTCTCAAGAACTAAATCATAATTTTAAAGTTTTTATTGGATAAAAGTATAATATTTTAAGAGACATCAATGAAGTGTCTTTAATTGAAGTATGAGCAAGTTATAGTTCAAAAAAATTCAAGATAGGTTAAAAGGAATAAATAAGGTTTAGGAGGATAACATATATATCTAAGATTAGTCATAGAAAATAATCACTACAGTTACTAGACTAAATAGAGGTAGTTATTTGACAACTTTATCCTCATATCCTAAGTTGTTAGAGAAGGATTGCAATTAGATCATATTGATCATAGTATATCCAAAAAGAGCTCAATGAGATCGCAGTTAAATCTTATGATCATAATAGATCTATAAGAAAGTTATTGAGCTACTAAGTATATGACGATTCTATAGGAAGACGACAGCATCGGATGGGTTAAGAGTACATATACATTTTAAGTTTGGCTAACTATTATTGAAAGAGTATCCTTAACTTTTTTTTAAATAGCTCAACAACTAATTAGATTAAGAAATGAAAAAAAAGAAAAGCAAGTAAAAATAATAGTCTATCCAAAATCAGATAGCAATAATTAACTTTTAAGGATAATTATATGTAATTAAATAAAATTAAATGATGAGAAAGTACTTACAATTAAAATGAACAAGAGTAAACTTTAAGATGGAAATGTCAAGCCCAACTGAAGTCAAAATGTAATTTTTTAAAGTTTTGGGTCTCAAAATGTGATTATAGAAAATTACTCAAAATTGTGAAAAATTAAAAAAAAATTAGTATATGAAGAAGAAATATTTAGAAGAGTAATACCAATTTTATTGATTAAGAATTTTTCTAAGGAGCTAATTATTAATTATATAGAAATCAAATTCATTTTGGTCAAAACAATGTCCAAACTAATCAAGATTAAAAATACAATGAGAATAGAGTTTTCAAATAAAGGGCTTGTATAATTGCTTTAGGTACACTGTCTTGTGGAGTTTATTGCCTTTATTATTATTTGACCTTGCTATAAAACAAACAAGAAATTTGCGGCGAATTCACAACAGAGTTTTCAAACACTTACCCTACTCATAAAGAGATGTGATTCACCAAAAGAAAAGAGGAGATTTGCGACGAATTCATGACAGAAATTTGTGAGTTCGGTCACAAGGACATGAATCTGCTGCAAATCCGTCCCAAATTTCCTGCTTTTTGTAGTGGCGATTTAATTATTGTGGTAAATAAGATTTAGCAATGCGACCATCTGCTCCATTAGGATAGAAACCACCAGTAGGGGTGAGCATCGGTCGGTTCGGTTCGGTTCGGTCTCAAAATATGCAGAACCGATCGATCGAATAACACTGAAAATGAAAACCGAATCGAACCGAACAAGCCAATCGAACCGAACAAGGACCGAACCGAAATTTGATAATTCGGTTCGGTCGGTTAATTCGGTTTTTCGGTTTGGGCCTAATTTTTAAATATTAAAACAAACAACACTATAAAATTGGGCCTTTTTTCTTTTCGTTTTTTTCAATATGAGCCCATTCTAATTATATTCATATGACATAAAGCCCAAATATTATAAAGACATGAATAATCAAATAAACAACCATAAATAAACACCGATGATTAAATAATAACCTCATAATTCAGTCACAATACCTACTGATGAGAGTGACTGATTGAAATGGGGTTTCAAGTGATGTTATTATTTTTTATTCTTTATTAAAATAAAAAATAAAAATAAAAATAAAATAATTTATAAATTAAATATAATTTATAAATTAATAAATTATATATAATTCGGTCGGTTCGGTCTATTCGATTTTAAATTTTACTAACCGAATCGAACCGATCAACCGAAATATTTAAAATAAAAAAACCGAATCGAACCGAAAAATCAAATAGACCGAATCAAATAGACAAAATTCGATTCGATTCGGTTCGATTTTCGGTTTCGGTTCGGTTTTGCTCACCCCTAACCACCAGGGACACTCTCATTGCCTCCTCCATAGCTAATCCTTAAGATCTCCTGAGGTGTTCTTCCATAAGAGAGAGAATTGTTGTTAGCTGAGAGAATGTTGCCAGTGACTTTGCCCTCAGAACCTTGTTCTATTGGCACCACAAGACCCTCGTCCTTCAAACCTGCGTTTCCTAGGTTGTCTCGAAGCTTGGAGATTCTGTCTGTAAATTCAGCTACACTCATACCATATGGAACAACAAGTCCAGATTTCTTCTCATATAATAATGCTCGAATCACTGCGTCTTGCCCTGATTCTACTCCCAATAACCCTGCCACTAGCTGCTCATTTTCATTTTATAGCCACAAAGTTCATTAAGTTATAACCAACCCAACTTATAATCTGATACTTCTTCCTATTCATAATATAGTGTAGTCACAATTTCATATTTATTAAGAAATAATAGTTACTTCCTTCCATCCTTAATATAAAACAAATTTTGAAATTCTTTTTCCTTAATATAAGGAAAAGTTAGAGTAGTTAATTTTACTTTTTTAATTTTATCCTTATTTATTTATTATTATCTGAATTCTCGGACGTTATTAATTGTAAATAAGGATAAAATTAAAAAGTTACATTATTTTTCCTTACAATTTTAAGGACGTAACTAACATTTCGTAAGATAGCTTTGAATTTTAAAAGAAAATGTAACTTTTTAATTTTATCTTTTTTATGCAATTAATAATCATAATAAATTATTTTTTAAGAATTTAAATGACAATAAATAAACAAAGGATAAAATTGAAAAAAAGCATTAATTATTCTGACTTTGACTTATATTAATGACGAAAAAGAATTTTTAAGTTTGGCTTATACTAAGAACTAGAGAGAGTACATATTTATAATTATATATCCTAATTAAATATCATATTTAAATGTCTTAATATTGAAAATCAAAATCTCAGTGGACATTTTATTCAAAAAGAATAATAAATGAAATATGAGTATAATTGAAAAAAATATATAAGAATCATCTAATACTATATTTTTTAAAAATATCTTATATTATCAATAAAAAGAAGGTATGTAGCAAGTGATCATGAACCAAAGTTTGAATTGTATATAACATTTACACCTGCTTGGAGGTGGTACTTTGGAGCATAGGATTAGCTCGAACGTAGCCAGTGAGACCAACGTAAGGAATCAAATAAGACGCCAATAAAAAGTTAATGGAATTAGCATATCGATCAAAAGGTGGGACCATAGGTCTCCCAAAAGCTCTGTCCATTATTGTGCCAAACACTTCCCTGCTCACATTCAGTAATGGCCTTGGAAACCCTTTTACTGTACTTTTTATGGCCCTGCAATATTTACAATAATTTATAAACTAATATAAATACATACTTACATACATATATAAAGAGTCTCCAACTTAAACAATGTGTGCGTGTAGCAGAGTGTGCTAATCGTGTGCTTGTAAAGTGTATGTGTTAAGACTCTTATCATTTAAGAAAATAATTGGGGATTTCAATTACTATTCTTGTACATGTATAAACTTATTTAAGATTTAGAATAAAGTCTATCATTTACTTTCAATATTTTGGAAGAGATTAAATTTGAATGATTTAGGTCTCATCAATACTTTGTCAAGATGATGAGCTCCATGGTGTGCATCCTTCTAATGCATTGCATGGTAAGGGATTTTTTATGAAAATTTCAAGAAAAAATTATTCTTGTACAACCTACTTGTTCTAGTCCTAATTATATGAGCTAGTTAGGAAATTTGTTTTGATCCTAAACGTAAGATCTCAATCTCCTTTAATTTTTTTATTATATTTCCTTCAAATTAGCCCTATCGTAAGATTCTTGTGTATTGCAAAGTTGAATGGCTATCATATTCAAACTCTTTTAGTTGAAATATTTTAGGAAAATTTACACATTATTTTTGAAAAAAATAATTATTTGATCCCTGTAATTTTGATTCAATTATAACTTAATTTCTAAATTTTAAATCATTATAACTTAATTTTTATAATCTTGACTTGATTATAACTCAATTTTTAAACTTTAACTCGGTATAATGCAACTCAATCCATATAGTTTTAATTATTTAAAATATCAGTTCTTATATTTTAAAAGTAAAATTATAAACATCACAATTATTTTTAAAT